GCTATAGGAATAGCAGCTACATAGGTGGGATTTAGAAGAAATGATTACAAAAGTTTTTTCTCTGGTTTAGGAGTTTGTCCGTTGTTCTTTAAGGGTAATGTATATGAAGGATAACATTATTTCAACAATAAAGATGTACTGAGCCGGGCTTGGTGGCTCAGCCTGTAATCCCGCGCCTTTGGGAGGCTGAGGTGAGTGGATTGCCTGAGCCTGTGGGTTCGAGACCCGCCTGGGCAACTTGGCGAGACCTTATCTCTACAACAAATCAAAAATCAGCCGGGCACGGTAGCGCATGCCTGTAATTCCAGCTACTCGGAAGGCTGAGGTGGAAGGATCGCCGGAGCCCAGCAGATAGAGGCTGCGGTGGCCGGGAGCAGCCACTGCACTCCAGTCTGGGCGACAGAGTGAGACTCCAACTCAAAAAAAAAAAAAAAAAAAAAAAAAAATGCACTGAACACCTACTATGTGCCAGATGGTGTTCTTTTAAGAAGCAGAGATGACATTCGAGATCACACAGCTGGTTAAAAAAAAGGTGGAATTTTTTGAGGCCATTACACCAAGTTACTGGTGTAAATACTGTACAATTCCATTCATATGAAGCAAATGCTATGCAATTTCACTTACATGAGGCATCTAAAGTAATCAAAGTCAAAGAAACAGTAGAATGGTAGCTGCCAGAGGATGGGAGGAAGGGGAAATGGGGAGTTGTTCAGTGGACTTTCAGTTTTGCAGCATGAAAAAGTTCGAGGGAACTGTTGCACAACAAAGTGAACATAGTCGACACTACTGAACTGTACACTTACAAATCGTTAAGATTATTTAAAAAAGGAATAACCAGGATTTGAATCTAGGCCTGGCTTAAATACTCCTGTATTTAGCAATTATGTTATCATGGTTTCCTTCTTTCTAATAATTACATCTTCAGTCAAAAAACATTTCCTTTCTCTGGTTTACACAGGATCCCCCTTCTGTATGTCAGGGTAGCAAGTCTTGGTTAGCAGCCTTGGTTGCAGCTTGACAGATTCCAGAAGAGTGCCATACTAAGCCAAGATAGCAAACTCAATATGGAATCACCAATCCAAGAGATTAAGTGGAGAACCAAGCACAGGTCAGAGAATTAGGCAAGAGGGATTTGGAAGAAATAATTTTGGCTATCTTGGTGGCTCAGCCTGTAATCCCACGCTTTGGGAGGCTGAGGTGAGTGGATTGTTCGAGATCCACCTGGGCAACTTGGTGAGACTTCATCTCTAGAATAAATCAAAAATTAGCTGGGCGTGGTAGCGCGCGCCTATAGTTCCAGCAAGGCTGAGGTGGAAGGATCGCTGGAGCCCAGCAGGTCGAGGCTGCGGTGGCCGGGAGCGTGCCACTGCACTCCAGTCTGGGCAACAGAGTAAGACTCCAACAAAAAAAAACCCCAAAAAAACATTAAGCCTGATTGGGCTTAGTGACTCAGCCTGTAATCCCAGCACTTTGGGAGCCCACGGGTTCGAGACCAGTCCGGGGAAATTGGCGAGATCTTGTCTCTACAATAAATCAAAAGTTAGCTGGGCATGGTAACACATGCCTGTAGTTCCAGCTACTTGGAAGGCTGAGATGGAAGAATCGTTGGAGCCCAGCAGGTCGATGCTGGAGTGGCTATAAGTGTGCCATGCACTCCAGCCTGGGTGATGAAGTGAGACTCCAACTCAAAAAACAAACAACAACAACAACAACAAAAAAACATTAAGCCAGGTGTGGTGGGAGGCGGAGGCAAGAGGAATGCCTGATCCCAGGGGTTCCAGTCCAGCCTAGGCAATTTGGCAAGACCTTGTCTCTACAATAAATAAAAAAATTAGCTGGGCATGGTGGCAAGTGTCTGTGGTTCCAGCTACTTGAAAGGCTGAGGTGGAAGGATCGCCTAAACCCAGCACATCGAAGCTACGGTGGCTGTGAGTGTGTCACTGCATTCTAGCCTGGGCAACAGAGTGAAATTCTGACTCAAAATAAATACATACCTACATACATAAATAATTTCAAAAATAAAAAATAACATAGGCTGGGGGTGGTGGCTCAGGCCTGTAATTGCAGTGCTTTGGGAGGACTGCTTAAGGTCTGGAGTTGTAGACCACCATAGGTAATTACCATCTCTTGAAAAAAAAGAGTGGTGGTGGGTACCTGTAGTCATGGCTACTTGGGAGACTGAGGCAATGGGACTGCTTGAGCCAAGGAGTTTGAGGCTGTGGAGAGCTATGATTGTGCCACTGCATTCCAGCCTGGGTGACAAAGTGAGACTCTGACTAAAAAAAAAATAATTAAAAATAAGGCCAGGCACGGTGGCACAGTTGTAATCTTAGCACTTTGGGAGACTAAGATGAAAGGATGCTTGGACCTAGGAGTTTGAGACCAGCCTGGGCAACATAGCAAGATCTCATCTCTACAGAAAAACAAAAAATTAGCTGGCATGGTAGCACAAAACTGTAGTTCCAGCTACTCAGGAGGCTAAGGTAGCAGGATCTCTTGAGCTCAGGGGGTCGAGGCTGCAGTGAGCTGTGATCCATACCACTGCACTCCAGCCTTGATGATAGCCTGAGGTCCCGACTCAAAAAAAAATTAATAATAACTAAATAAATAAAAACAAAAGACATTGGGCGTGGTGGCTCACACCTATAATCCCAGCACTTTGGGAAGCAGAGGCAAGAGGATTGACTGAGCCCACAGGTTCGAGACCAGCCTGGGAAAGTTGGCGAGACCTCATCTCTACAATAAATCAAAAAGTTAGCCAGGAACTGTGGTTCCAGCTACTTGAAAGGCTGTGCCAGAAGGATCGCCTGAGCCTAGCAGGTTGAGGCTGCAATGGCTGTGAGCATGCCTCTGCACTCTAGACTGAGCAGAGTGAGACTCCGACTCAAAAAACAAACAAAAAAAACCAAAAGACAACATACATATATAACCAAAAAATTTCTTATTCTACTAAAAAAAAATTAAATAAATGCTGATCCTATTACAAGACAAAAGTCTGTGATGGAAGAAGCTTGAAATCATAAGCTCTTTTACCTTATAATCAGGAGTAAGTCATTTAAATCTTTCTGAACTTCACTTTCTCCAGGGTAAAGTGGAGCTAATACTGACTGTGGACAGTATATGTCAAAAGAGATCTGATATGGAAAGAAATGCTTCTGAGAATAAGTTAGAACCAAACATACTAAGAATATCCATGTCTAGAAATGACAAAACCAAAATATTATTAAAGATAAGAGATTCTAATATTATCCAAATATATCTAGAATTATCCAAATTTAATCAAGGTAGAATGAGTGTGGTTTCAGAAAAGCACAGGAATACAGCATGCTAGAATGGAATGGGCAGTGAAATTAAACTTGATTTTAAAAACTACACTTATAAGCCGGGCTCGGTGGCTCAGCCTGTAATCCCGCGCCTTTGGGAGGCTGAGGTGAGTGGACTGCCTGAGCCCACGGGTTCGAGACCCGCCTGGGCAGCGAGACCTCATCTCTACAATGAATCAAAAAATCAGCCGGGCATGGTAGCGCATGCCTGTAATTCCGGTTACTTGGAAGGCTGAGGCGGGAGGATTGCCGGAGCCCAGCAGGTGAGGCTGTGGTGGCTGGGAGCGGCCACTGCACTCTGGTCTGGGCGACCAATTGAGACTCCAACTCAAAAAAAAAAAAAAACCCCAAAATTAAACTACACTTATTGATAAGCGTTTCTGATTCTACTCCAGGCGAAGTGGGGTCCAATGGGAAGCCCAAAACTTCACTTGTACCTAAACCACTTATGTATGCAATCCTGACTAGTACAGCCCCACAACTTTAAAAACAAAAACAATAAAAAACTACACTTATTGGCAGTGTAGAGTTGGGCAAGCTACTTGATTTCCTGGAGTCTCAGTTTCTGCATAGTGCGGTGTTTTGAGTACTTATTTGAAAAAGATTTACTGAATTAACTATTTACTAGGGCCCAGGGCAGAACTAGGCAGATGGTAGGGATAAAAAAATGAAGGCATTGCTCTTGTCTTCAATTTCAATACAATGTAACAAATACTGTAACAGCAAGACCTACTAAATATTTTCTAAGTATCAGATACAAGTACAAATGCTTTTTACTCATTATATCTTTTTTAAAAAAAATTTTTAACAGAGACAAGGTCTTGCTACCTTGCCCAGACTGATCTCAAGCAACCTCTCGCCTTAGTCTCCCAAAGTACTGAGATTACAGGCGTAAGCCACTATGCCTGGCTAATTTTTTCATTTTTTGTAGAGATGAGGTCTTGCTATGTTGCCCAGGCTCAAGCAGTCCACTTGTTTCAGCCTCCTAAAATGCTGAGATTACAGGCGTGAGCCACGGCAACAGAACCCCATTAGATCCTTATTTACTCTCCTACAGAACCAGAAACGTTACCATTTACGTGTCATAGAAGCCACACAGAGAGGTTAACTATCTTGCCCAGGTCCAAACAGCTGTCAGATGCTGGGGCCGGGCTCCATCCTGGCAGAGAACAGGACCGTGTAGATCCACAAGTGAGGCGGGTGGAGGCTTTCCTCGCCAACAGGCGAGAAAACAGCCCTACCTCTTGGAGTTGGGCCGATTAAATGAAGCAGTATATTAAGTCAGTATTGTGCCTGTGACATGTAAACGCTAAGCTATTGCTATCAGTTTCAGTGTATTCCTTTCCATGGGAGCATTGTGGCGAATCCCAAGAATGGTTTCAAGGCTTGGGCTACACATTTTTCAGTGAACGACTCTAATTTATGTGGGTTATGGGACTTTCATTCCTAGCAACAAGGTGGGCCACTATGATTATTTTTCTTATAGTTTTACCTATTTTCTTTTCTTTTTTTTTTTTCTTCTAGAAAATATTTTTGGTTCAAGGATAAGCACTTTCACCTATTTTCTTTTATGCTCTTCATCGGTCCCATTTTACATCCCCGCCTGCGCCACAAACGAAGTTGTCGTAGAAGCCGCGGAGCGGCGCGTGGGCGGGCACCTCAAGCCGTACACTGGCTTCGCCGCCTATCCCAGGGCGCGAACGTTCAGCCCAGTTCTCGCGGGAAGAGGCTTTTTTTTTTTAAACGATAACTTCTAATCCCACTGACCTCCCCAGGGTCACGTGACGCGCCTGCGTCCTCGCCTCAAGGTCTTTCCGGGTAGTACAGGGGCTGTTATCTCGTTTACGGGGTGTCGCGAGTTCCCTTCCGGAAGTAGGCCTTTGACTTTCGCTTCCTCAACGGAAGCGTGTCAGAACCTGGCCGTCGAGTCCCTGAGGAAGTTCGTCACGTCGCAGTGGCCTTCGCACAGCGGATGTGTGTCGCCGCTTAGGTGACGCTGGGAAGTGCTTGCAGCCTCTGCCGCTGCCTTTTGGTTGAAGCACTATGGAGGGAGAGAGGAAGAACAACAACAAACGGTGGTATTTTACTCGAGAACAGCTGGAAAATAGCCCATCCCGTCGTTTTGGCCTGGACCCAGATAAAGAACTTTCTTATCGCCAGCAGGCGGCCAATCTGCTCCAGGAGATGGGGCAACGTCTTAACGTGTATCCTTGCGGCCTAGGCCTTCGGCCTTGGAGTCGGTGCCTCCATGCTCCAGCGTCCAGGTCTCAGACTGGTAGGGGTCGAAAGGGAGGAAGAAGGTGGGCAGAAGCTGGATGTCTAGGTGGAGAACCCACGTTGGGGAGGGGTGAAACTGTTCGCGCGAGGGAAGCGAGGCGGCGTTAATTTCCCGCTCGCTCACCGGTGCCACTAACCTTGCTGGGAATTTGTATCCTTCCCGCCTTTGTGTTTTAACCAGCCTTTCCTCGTCCCTCTTGAATGTATTCTGACGTGCTCTGGTGATTTTTTTTTTTTTAAAGAAAGCAGAATTTATCGAGAGGACAGAAAAGCTTCCACAGCGGGAGGGGGCTCGAGGGGGTTGCCCTGCTCTGGTGATTTTAAGATCTCCTTTTTCCGCTATGCTGTAGAGGTCTGGTAAAGGTTTCACTGTTGACGGCTGCCTCCCAGACTTAGTGGGTAAAGAGAGTTTCTGGAAATTCAGTACCTGAAGGTCTTATAAAAGTTGGCCTAAGAATTAATGCCCCAGTCTTGGTTCAAAATCCATCTCTCACATATTAGCTATTTAAACGATCTGTTAAGTTCTTGACCTCCATTTCCGTAAAATGGAATAACTCTGGTGTTTCTATGCCCACCACAATGCTTAGTATACAGACGTTCAGTTAGTAGGTGCTGTTAAGAGTTTTATAGAATTTTAGGGGAAGGCAAGATGTCAGTTTAGGTTTTTAGGCGTGTAGACCCGGGAATCTAATGTTTTTAATCGTTTACAAAATATTGGATTCTTAAGTTATTCAGAGTGCTGGTATGTATTTGTTTTCTTCATATTTCAAAGATGAAGTAATTTAAGTGATTTTTTTCCCTCTATGTGTTTGTCAGAAAATACACTTATTGTATTGCAGTGGAGAGAACCGCTATAGTTTTAAAGCTCTTTCCACTCTGCGTATGAAGGTTTTCTGGGTGCTGCTTCCACTTAAATGTGTTACCAACTATATACTTAAGGGTGTGTTCACCTCAAAATAGGTGTCCTTTTTTATAGCCAGTTTGTTTTCTATTTATACCGAGTTTTGTTTGAAATTCTGTTGCAGTGTATCCTTTAAAATGCTTTCCTTTTTGTATGTGTTGTCATTAAGGTTGTTGCCATGATGGGATTGTGTCATCTCTGTACCCCATATTGTCTGCTGAGGTCTTTAGAAGTAAGGCATTTAAAAGTTTTTCTTTTCAGTGAATGAGTTATCTAATCATTTCAAAGTATTTTTGGTCTCAGGGATCACCATGTGAGTAGGCTTGCTTGTCAGAGAAATGGAATTGAAAATTGCTAGAGAAAGATAGTGGAGACATACCCAGGGACCAGATCAGGGAGGGCCATTCATTCAATAAATTTATATTAAATTTTATATGTATGGTATGCCAAGTGTCAGTTGGCAATTAATAACTTAGTGAAAGAAAACAGATTTGGTCTTTGATTTGGAGAGGTAAGTATGGTTTTTATTTAGTAGTATCTACTGTGCTTGGCCTTGGTCTTTTTGAGAAGAGATAGAGGTTAATATTTTGGGCTTTACACTGCCTGCCTTCCTGTTTTTTGGACCTTAACTTGAACACCTCAGCTCACAATTGACTATCAACACTGCTATAGTATACATGCATCGATTCTACATGATTCAGTCCTTTACACAGTTCCATTGGAATGTAAGTATAATTTTAAAAATATGTTGTAATCCTTTTGTGATTGATTCCAACTATTTCATTTGTGGTTAGTCTTTGCTTCTGAACTATGATTTGAAATTTGGAATTTAGGTTGATCACTTTCCTTATGTGTCATACTGCTGTTCTGAATCCAGCCTTCAAAGTTTCCTGTGAAGTGGCTAGTTGTCTGGTAGGTTTAGTACATCCTTAGCATAGGCGGATTCTCTAATGAAGTAGATTTTTGAAGGCTTAAAGTTAAAATTTTGGTTGGGAGGCAGAAGCAGAAGGATCACTTGAGGCCAGGAGTTCAAGACTAGTCTGTTCAACATAGCGAAACCAGAGACCTCCATCTCTAAAAAATAATTAGCTGGATGTGGGGCCCATACCTGTAGTCCCAGCTACTAGGGAGAATGAAGCAGGGGGATCGCATGAGCCTGTGGGTTGGAAGGTACAGTGAACTATGATTGTTCCACCATACTCTAGCCTGGGTGACAGAACGATACTTTGTTTCTTTACAGAATGTTAGCGTTTTGGGCTTGGGGAGTATACCTTTCTTACTAAGGAAGAGATAAGCCAGATAGCTTTTTTTTTTTTTTTTTGAGTTAGTCTCACTTTGTTGCCCAGGCTAGAGTGTAGTGGCTCACTCAGGGCCTCCGCAGCCTTGACCTGCTGGGCTCTGGTGATCCTTTCTCCTCAGCCTTCCAAGTAGCTGGAATACAGGTGCATGCTACCCGCCCGGCTAATTTTGATTTATTGTGGAGACAAGGTCTTACCAAGTTGTCCAGGCTGATCTCGAACCCATGGGCTCAGGCAGTCCACTCGCCTTGGTGTCTCAAAGTGCTGGGATTGCAGGCTGAACCACTGAGCCTGGCCCAAACAGCATTTAATAAGGCCATCTAGTAGCACTAGAATATAAGGTAGCAGATAAAGAGTGAAATTTTAAGAGGAAATACTTAGGTTTTTTTTTTTTTTTTTTTTTGCCAATTCTGAAGGTTTTCTACAATTCTTACCTTTTATTATGATTTCAAAACTGGGGTGAAATTAATCTTGTCAATTTGTCCACTCTGCACATATACAGGTTAATATATGTTTCCCCCTATTTTTATCTTTTAAATTTTTTATTTTCTGTGTATTAAGCTTAACAAGGACAGAGACTCATCTCTAAGCACCTTTGGTGAACTCACTGAGTGAATGAATGGTCTGGTAATTATCCAATGCAGAGATATTCTCTGGATGTCATGACCTTATCTAAAATCCAGTGATTAATTTAACTTGAAGTTGTAGATACTCTTTAAAAGATAGATTTTAGGCATATTTTGGGATTAACAGATCACAAATGTTATCTTTTTGGTATGCTAATTATAAGAGTTTAGCTGTGATGAATCAAAATTCAAATTTGAGAAGACTTTTTTTTTTTTTAGTCAGTCTCACTGTATCACCCAGGCTGGAGTGCAGTGGCACACTCACAGCCACTGTAGCTTTGACTTGCTGGGCTCAGGTGATCCTTCCGCCTCAGCCTTCCAGGTAGCTGAAACCACAGGCAGGTGCCACCATGCCCAACTGATTTTTTGATTTATTGTAGAGATGAGGTCTTGCCGTGTTGGCTCAGGGTGGTCTTGACCCCCTGAGCTTGTCCTCTTGCCTCTGCCTCAGAAGTGCTGGGATTCCAAGCGTGAGCCACCTTTCTCAGTGAGAGGACTTGATACATTGTTGTGACTTGATACACTGTTGTGAAATTGATATGTTTGTTATATATGCCTTCAAGCTCTCATGCATTTTTTCATGTTATTTTTTTTTTCTTACTGCAAATGTAATAAATTCCCATGGTAAAAATTAAAACAATATAGAAACGTGTCATATAAGAAATGAAGCCGCTCTGTAATCCCTCTCACAGGTAACCATTGATAAATGTTTGGCATATAGTGTGTACATACATTGGCATTTCTGTGTTTCTATTTTTTTAAAATCACATATTACTATATACTACTATTGTGCAACTTGCCTTTATCACACAACAGTATGTATTGTTATATGTTATATACAATATATACTGTTACATTATTATGTATATGATGTTATATATTATGTATATATGTGTATATGTATGTATATGCATATTATATATTATGTATATTGTTATATACACTATGGAAAGTCATCTTTATATCTTCGTTTTTTGGGTTTTTTATTTATTTTTTGTGTTGGAATCTCACTCCGTCACACAGGCTGGAGTGCAGTGGCATGCTCACGGCTACCTCGACTACTGGGCTCAGGCAATCCTTATGCCTCAACCTTCCAAGTAGCTGGAACTACAGGCGTGTGCTACTACAACCGGCTAATTTTTAAATCCATTTTAGAGATGAGAGCTTGCCAAGTTGTCCAGGCTGGTTGAACCCGTGGGGTCAGGCAATCCTCTCACCTCAGCCTCCCAAAGTGCTGGGATTACAGGCTTGGGCCATCATGCCTGGCCTTTTTTCTTTTCTTTTTTTTTTTTTTTTGAGTTGGAGTCTTACTCTGTCACCCAGGCTAGAGGGCAGTGGTATGGTCCTGGCCACTGCAGCCTCAAGCTGCTGGGCTCAGGTGATCTTTCCACATCAGCCTCCAAGTAACTGCAACTATAGGCATGTGTCACCATGCCCTGTTAAGTTTTTTGATTTATTGTAGAGTTGAGGTCTCACCAAGTTGACCAGGCTGTTCTCAAACCGTGGACTCAGGTAATTCTCTCACCTAAACTTCCCAAAGTGCTGGGATTATTGGCGTGAGCCACTGTGCCCTGTGTGGTTTGTCATTATTTTAAGTGGCCACATAGTGCTTCTATAGGACCACAATTTATTTCACCAGCTTCCTGTTGATAGATATTTTGATTGTTTCTAGTTTATTGTAATGCTCCATGGGGTAGTCTTGTACATATAAAGGGCACTTGGATGAACATCTTAATGTAAATATAAATTTCTGTAGGTACAATTGCTATGCCCAAGGGTATGCAATATGTACAATTTTTGTCATGTAAATTTCCCCTACTGAAATATGATACCAGTTATGTTTCCAGCACTATAGGAGAGTATTCTTTTCTTTACACTGTAGCTAACAACTGATATTTGTTACTTTAGTAAATATTTATTGAGTTCTAACTACTTGTCAAGTGCTAGGGATACATTGGTGAACAAGGTTGATGGGGTCCTAAATTCTTTTCTTTTTTCTTTTTCTTTTTTTTTTTGAGTTGAAGTCTCACTCTGCTGCCCAGGCTGGAGTGCAGTGGCATGTTGAAGGCCGTACAGTGGCATGTTGAAGGCTGGAACTACAGGCACATGCCACCACGTCTGACAAATTTTTAAATCTATTTTAGAGATGAGGTCTTGCCAAGTTGCACAGGCTAGCTTCAAACCCGTGGGCTCAGGCAGTTCTCTCACCTCAGCCTTGGGATTATAGGGGTGAACCGCGCCTGGCCCTAAACTATTTTCTTAATTTACATTGCTTCTGCTGGGCTGGTGTCTCCCATGCCTGTAATCCCAGCACTTTGGGAGACTGAGGTTGAGAGGATTGCCTAACCCACAGGTTTGAGACCAGCCTGGGCAACGTGATGAGACTTCATCTCTACAATAAATTAAAAGAAAATTAGCCGGGCCTGGTGTCATGCTTCTGTAGTTCCAACTACTTGGAGGACTGAAGCGGAAGGATCACCTAAACCCAGCAGGTCGAGGCTGTGGTGGCTGTGAGTAACTCAAAAAAAAAGGAAAACAAATTTGCATTACTTCAGTTCGTGAAGTTGAGTTTTTTCTGCCTTATGGTCATTGATCTCATGAAATATAATAATTGAGTGAAAAGTTGACTGCTGACTTTTTTGCCCCCTTTAAATTTTGATTGTCTTATTTATATGAGCTCCTTATATATTGGAGCTCTTTTAGGTATTGTGAATATTTTTCTCATTTTGTTGTGTGTTATTGTTTTTGTTTCTTGTTCCAAGTAGCTGGAACCATGGGCACATGCCACCTCGCGTAGCTAATTTTTTTTCACTTATTGTGGTGATGGGTTCTTGCCATGTTGCTCAGGCTGGTCTCGAACCTATGGGCTCAGGTGACCCTCTTATCTCTGCTTCCCAAAGTGCTGGGATTACAGGCTTGAGCCATCACACCTGGCTTGTATTTCTTTATTTATAGTGTTTTGGAGTTTAGAGCCCTTGTCTTTCTTTTGTGTTTTGAAATTTTTTGTTGAGGTATGTGCAGTAAAGCACAAAAATCTGAAGCATGCAACTTGATTAATTTTGGCATTATTATTTTGTGTTATTATATGTAACTACCTCTCAGATTAAGATATAGTATATTTCCAATAGTGGTAGGTAGAGTGCTTGTCTTTTAATTGAAGTAATGTTTTTGTTTTTTTTTTAATGGACATGGTCAAATGACTGGCTTATTTCTTTTCACTTAAGTTCAGGAATTGTACTTGCTTTCTTTTTGAGAAGAAATTCAGCCTCATTAATTGAATTTCTACATATACTGTCTTAAATATTTTCAAGTGGAGGAAGATAAAAGTAGTGGTGAACTACTTGTGGGGGAGGAGTGTTGATGTTTGTACCACTAATAAAAAAATTGGCTGGATATGGTGATGCATACCTGTAGTCCCAGCTACTTGGGAGACTGATGCAGGAGGATTGCTTGAGCCCAGGAGTTGGAGGCTGTGATGAGCTGTGATTGTGCCACTGCACTCTAGCCTGGGCAACAGAGTGAGACCCTGAGTCAAAAAAAAAAAAAAAAAGTTTTGTATTTTGTATGTTTAATGCCAAACAAACTTGATAGTGTGTGTTTACTCTCCTTACTTGACTCTTAAGAGGTCAATTTTAGTGGTTAAAAGTATGGACTCTGGAGTCAGACACATCTAGATTTGGAACTTTGCTACAGTGCTTACAGGCTATGTGGCTTTCAGCAAGTTACCATAGGCCTCAGATTTCTCATTTCTATGGAGTCATTAGTAGTACCTGTTTACTGCACATAGAAAACACTCATTAA